CTTCCAGATGTTCTTGGACTTCAACTCCCAGAAATCCTGGCCAGCAGAGGTGGTGGTGAAGGCTTCTGGGAGTTGTAGTCCAAGAACATCTGGAGGCCCAAGGTTGGGGACCACCGCCATAGGTCACACCAAATGAGTCAGTGACACAAGAACCATGAATCCTGACTATTTAGAAGACAAAAACAAACTTTCTTCTTTGGTACGCTCATTGGTGAGATTATCCAGACAACTCTTTTATTTGTGTCATTGCTATCAGGTATTTGTTAGTGCTGCATTTAATCTACCACCTTTCTACATACATGCATGCATATGTCTGTGCATACACACACACACACAAACATTTTACAGCTGCTTCAGCATTCAGGATTAGGGATCGGTGTGAACAGCCTAAAATTAAGGACATTAAGGAAGCGTAGAAATCCCCAATAGAGATGGACACAATCAGCTGGTTCGATGGTTCATCATGGTTCATTTACAGGTGTTCCATGGTTTGGCGCCCTGCCCTTTCTGTCAGGTCCCCACTTGGAGGCAGAGTCCAATCTTCCCTGTCCTGCCTCCTTGAGGTGCTGTCTCTGAGTTGGCACCCACTGGAGAGAGGAGGGCACCAAACTGTGGAACACCTGTTGGGATGGTAAACAAACTGTGCCAAACCACCGAACCAGCAGATTGTGCCCATCTCTATTCAGGATTGCTAGGTCAGTAGCTTCCTTAACTTTAGGGCCAAACCCTGACATGGGGAAGCAAGCCTTTGTGCTATCACATAGGGTGAACCCTTGTGTAACAATTACAAAATTGTGTGTCTGTATGAGAGAGATGGGGGAAGAAGGCACACAAATGGATTTCTTACACTACTTTCTAAACAAATACAGTGTTTGCAACACATCCCGTATACAAACTTATTTGTGCTGTGATGCCAGCTGGGATTAAAGAGTCACTCAAGCATTAAGCCACCACACAAAACAAAAATCAAACTTTCTCCTTCTCTTCACTCTGAGATCTGGCCCTCTATTGAGAGCTCTAACTGGGTTAGAGGAACTGGGACCCTGCCACACATACACATGCACAAACATGCATACATACGCACAAGTATACACACACACATACACTCTGTGTTATGGACCAACACAACTCACTTCATTTCTCTGGGGATGGGTGAGAGAAGTCTCCTTGAAGGCCTAGCTAAAAGGACTGTCATAACGAGCATTTCCAATTTTAAAAAAGTATCTAAATACCATTGCTTGTAAGATTAACATTGTTCTGTAAAAAAAAAACCCGCACACAAATCCTGTCTTTCGTAGTTGACAGTGTATGTGGGATTATTCCACTCCTTCCCCTCTCCAGTGTCCCACTGTAAGATCCTGTGGCTGAAATGCAATCATAAGTCACAACTAGAGTAGGCCATTTGAATCAATGGAATTTATGGAGGAGTTGACTCACGGGATCCCCACTGTTTCAATAGACCTACTCTAACTGCAAGTTAATATTGCATTTCAACCTGTGTGGTGTAGTGCAGTGGTTCTTAACCTTTGTTACTCGGATGTTTTTGAACTGCAACTCCCAGAAACCCGAACCAGCACAGTTGGTGGTGAAGGCTTCTGGAAGTTGCAGTCCAAAACTCCTGAGTAACCCAAGGTTAAGAACCAGTGGTGTAGTGGATAGAATGTTGAACAAGGTCCCCAGAGATTTGGGTTTAAATCCCTGCTTTTTCACGAGACTCTCTAGGTGACCTTGGGATTATCACACTCCCTCAAGCTGACAAAGTTATTGTAAGGACAACGTGGGAGGAGGATAGTTCTGTATGCCATCTGGAATTCATTAGATGAAATGTACATGTTTAGCAAATAAACAAGAAATAATAGATTTTACTAAAAGTTAGTGACTTGCACCCAGCTAAGCAGTGTGTTGAAGCCAGGTTCCCCTCCCCAGATATATACTGTAAATCAGTTCTAACTTGGCAGCATAGAACAGCAACAAAGGTCACACTGAGAGGAAGTCATGTGACTGAAACATGCTAGTAAATATATAGATGCTGGCCTCATTTTGTCAGCCTCAACAACCTTTCCTTGACCAGAGTTGAGTCACACAAGTATATTTGTCATTTGGTCAAGGAGTAATTTATACATATGAATGAGTCAGATGCAACAGTATAGTGTCAGGACTGGGGCCATGCTGGAATCCTGCGACCTCAGTGCAGGCAGAATCGGCCCCCATCTCCCTGGGAAGAACTGCTCTAAGGTTTGCAGGACTGGGCCCTTTCCCTGCAGCTGTTGCCCAGCTCCTCAGGAGTGCCACCTGTGGAAGCTGAGGACTGGGCTATAGAAGAACAGGCCTTCGCTGCAGGCCTTTCCCTCAGCAATGGAGGTCTCCGGCTGTGTTGTTGTTCCTGCCTTGTCTTGCAGTTCCTATCCTGCCTGCTTGTACCTGCCTTGCTCTCCTTGCATCCCTGTACCCTGCTGCCTTGATATGGTTCCTTCCGGCTTTGACCCCTGGACAGTCTGACCATGATTTGCATCATCCTTCTACTCAGCTGCTGTTTGGACTCAGAACCCTAACTGGTTGATCTCTGCTTGGGCTGTGGGGTTGGTTCTACCTTGTTCTTGTGGTCTTGCTCTGGACTTGGTCCTGGTGCCTCTTCTACTAAACCCTGACACATAGAAAGAGCTTTCAAACTTGACCTCCTGTGATTTCAAACACAAGGCTCATAGAAAGAGCTTTCAAATTGACCTCCTGTGATTTCAAACACAAGGCTTTCCAGTGGAACCAGTCCACAAAATGATTCAGCTGCATGTCAGGGAGTATCAAACCAAATATGTGATGAAAACAAGCCACCCCATTCTCAGTCTCCCTTTACATTTGGTTGCAGCATTTTGCTATGAATGCAATTAACCATGAACTTGTGGGAGACTTTTGTTAAGATGGTACTGCACATGCCTTGCAACTTAAGAAATTCCCTAATTTGCATCCATTAATATTTTATAACTGTTAAAAGGACTGTGCTTCCAAAATAATGTTAAAGATGAGAAATGAGTCTTGAATCCAGAAAGGGTTTGTCCTCTTGATATCAATATACATTTATTTATGCTGTTGTAAAACAATTCCTGGAACAAGAAGCGCCAATTTTCTTCTTATTTAATTAGAAGAGTGGTTTCTCATGAGCATTCATGCTGAGGTATGAATACCTATTGTTCTTAATTTAAGTACACGTTTAATCTTACACAATGAAAAATATATACAATGTGGCCTTAATACATTTAGATTGCCTTATATTTATAAAACCTCAGAGAGTGCCTGTTTTAATAGTGTTGATGCCATATTCCCAATAGTCCTTAAAATATAATACAGCTAACTATAGTACATTAAATACACAAAGTGCTAAAGGGTGGCCACTGCTTCACTGCCAAAAAGGAAGGCGTGCATTACCAAAAAAATGAGGACAGTTCTTCAAATGGAGGATTGTCCTCCCTAAAGGAGGATATAAAAGCCACCCTATGCTAAACAGAAAGAAAGCAAAAAGAAAGGGGTAAGACAGTTCTCCCTAGGCTGGCAAGCTCTAAGTGAGTGGTTCCCAATCTTAGGTCCCGAGATGTTCTTGGATTAAAATTCCCAGAAGCCTTCACCACTAGCTGTGTTGGTCAGGGTTTCTGGGAGTTGCGGTCCAGGAACATCTGGGGACCCAAGGTTGGGAACCACTGCTCCAAATAAATATGTTGCAACCCATCTTTCTACGATACCTGCTTTGTTTGCCCCTAAGTACTCAAAATGAACTGTGCCAACCATGAGACAACCCCCCCCTACACACACACAGTTACTGTGTCAATGTAAGCCCTATTCAGGTGTCACAGCTTGAAAGTGGAGAAGCTGGGGGCTCCATAGCTGTAACTAGCCATTGTGGCATGCAGAGCTTTCCTATCCTGTTGGTTATGGGTAGTATGAGGTTGGCCTATGCAGGGAGAGGATGGGAAAATGAAGAGGAACTGAGCATATAGTGATGATGTTACATGCCGAAGTAAATACTGTATGCCTGTTTAGTGTTTCATTTTGTCACGGAAGGAAGGACGAGAAGTGCTTTGTACCCTTACAACAATAAATACTAAAAGCTGAGTTTGTGCCCTTCTAAGCAGGAATTCCTTGTACCTCTAAATTTCTCAGCTCTGCCCTGTTTTTCCATCCTGGTTACCACTCAGACAGCACTCCTGTAAGCCCCCCTTCCATATCCTTCCTACCTATACATCAGCCCCATCCTTGCTGGGTTTCCCTAGGTAGACAAGTGAGGAGACAAGTCTCAGGGCAAGCACTGATAGAGGAGAAGGTTTGATTTTATTGTATGTTACTGCTTTACTACTCAAGTGCTCACTACCTCCAAACTTGCAGCTGATACCAGGGCTCATTGGCTTGCTGCAAAAATATTTCTATGTGTGCCACACACATGCATTTTCATTGGCAGGTACTGTGAGAAATTCATATTGCTTGTTCCACTCTCTCATGCACACATATGTATGCACGCTTATTATTTTGCAAGTGTTACTCAAGCACCTACATCCTTAGTCTCACATTTTGGCCTAAAATTACAGGGAATGGGAAGATAGTTTTTTTAAAAAATCGATGTTATTAAAACATAACTTCACTAGAGCAGCCATTCTCAGCACATTTGAAGGGTCCACATACTGGAAACAATTCTTCATTCATCACCTTATAAGGTTCATTATGCAGCTTATACAATCCTGATTTGGCCTATATTCCTTTCATTTTGTGTTTATGGCTGTGGCCAAAACAAAACAAAAAAAACCCACCAAGGTTGTGAATGGCTGGATTAGAACCCTTGCTGTTCTTGATTAAGTATATATTGCATTACCACCTGCAGCACCATACAACCCAAAACCCACCAAGGTTGTGAATAGCTGGATTACAACCCTTGCTGTTCTTGATTAAGTATATGTTGCATTACCACCTGCAGCACCATACAACCCTGAAGACACTTACATGGTCGGATTTGATTACTACTTGGATGGAAGACAATCGGGAACACTAAGGACAGCACTAGAAGAGAATTATACCTGAAACCTAAGAGATGTTGCCAATCAGTGTTAGCTGGACCAGTAGTCTAATGCAGTGAAAATGAGCTTCTCATGTTCCTGCGTCTTGATTAACATTTCCCAGTTCTCCTTTCCCAGCCTCAGGTAAGTGAAAAATCTTTCATCTATTTTAATAGGAAACCTTTTTAAATAGAAACATTTTCCCCCAGCAGAACAGATGCCTTTGATTGCTCAGGCCTATCAACTGAGACTCCAATGAGGTAATCAGACATGGACGTGTCCTGTAGACCAACTAATATGTGAAGGAATGGCTTGGACGCCAGTCCATTGGCGTTCACTGCACTTCCACCTTGTGTGTTTAGGCTTGGATGTAAATTTCCATTACTTTGCTTCCATTGGCATAAAAGTTCTGAGACTCCATTTTAGGCATATGTTTTTCAGGCAGCCAAAAAACCAGTGCTTGCAAAAGGTCTCCATGTGACAGCAAGCAGTGATAATTTGTAGTTTTGGACATGCACAGTGGGCTGAGGACACAGCTGGAAACAAGCAATAATAATACTGGAAATAAATATGAGAGGGAAACATCTCTAAAATACAGGATTTCATAATGTCTTTGGGCTCTGTGTGCATTGCATACTGTGGGCAAAAGACCTCTGAATGGGTATCATTCATTATTATTTACTCTTGCATGTGGTGAGGTAGGAAAATGGGCCAAATTTCCCTTTAACCATAAACTCACTAGGTGGCCTCAGACAGGTTTCTATCTCTTAGCCAATGCTTAGAAGTTACTTTTTGGGCAATACCTCCTAGATATCTACTGGCATGTTTACTGGGAATTCTCAGGGCTGCTGTCAAAAAAAGTAAAAAAAAAAAGTAACTTTTTCCATGCTGTGTTCTTAGTTTCAGATTCCTGCCATCTGAAAGCTGGTCTGGTGTAGTGCAGACTTCTTTTAATCAAGCTTAGAAAGGTATTTGTGGAAGTAATTTGTTACAGTTATTGATCAAAGGAACCTAGAAGCAATTAAATAGTTACTGTTTAAGTTACAATTTAAAATAATAAGAATCTGACGAAGTAGCTTCCATCTGGTGTGTGTGTGTGTGTGTATGAAATGGGGGAGCCTTGCCCCCCAAATTTGGAGAGTACCTCATGTTTGCTTTTTGAGCTATGTGTAGCTCAGTCTGATGAAGAACAGGCTGCAGGGATGAAAGCCTATGTCGAATAAATTATTTGTTAAAATAATTTGTGATAATCATTGTTAACCTTGGGCTCCAATGGCCTGGCTTGCTGAGGATGGCAGGATATGTAGTCCAGGTCATCCACAGTGTGCAAGTTTGAGAATTGTATTATTATGTATTTCACAGTGTTTTTACTTTCTGATTTTATATTGGAAGCCGCCTAGAGTGGACTGTTGGTCCAGATAGGTGGCATAAAAATCAATCAATCAATCAATCAATCAATCAATCAATCAATCAGTCAATCAATCAATAAATATGGCTCTGAGGAAAGTGAAAGCATTACCGCTGAGCTGGCAGGTGAGTGAGCCATCCATCCTGTGCCTGCTGTTTAATTTTAAATTACACAAATTATTCCCAATCTAAGATACTTGCACTCCCAGGAGTGCAAAACCAGGAGATTTAGGGATACAACAACAAGAAGAAGAATGGCAGGAAAGGCATGTGCATCAACAATGTACCTCACTTATTTGTATTCTGAGCAATGAGAAACCCCTCAGCTTCTTCCTTTTCTCCCTGCCCACAATGTGAAAGCCTAACCAATTGGTTTTCACTCCAAGGTGATGCTGGTTCTTGTTCTGCCACTCGCCTGGGGGCTTGTGCCACTTGCTCCTTTCTTATTGTCTGCAGTTTAGGCTAGGCATCCTTCAGTCTCGAGAGACTATGGTAACGTGCTCTGTATGGAGGACTTGGAACAGCGTCTAGTGTTTTGATGCTGTACGTGAAGTTGGAGTGTCCTCTCCAGGGCACAAAGCCTGGGTAAAATAATATGGAGGATAGGCTGTTACCCAACCAGCAAATCCCCCCTCTCCACATCACTGATATAGTCCAATGGAAAGGCAAGAGCCAATACAACTGGTTTCAGTGACGTCGCAGGGGTTGCCAGAATGACACGAACTGCCTCCGGGACTCCGGCTCCGGATTTTGCCTCGAGGTTAATTCCTGAAGCCTTTCCCATCAGTGGATATAGCCACAAGGCAGTGGAGGTTTGGAATCGGACTAATGGGGTGGTAAATTAAATATAAATTCTGCAGTTTATACAGGGCAAAATTCCTTATGGATTTTAACCCACTTGCTGGCACATTCATGCAACTACCAGAGGAGATGAGGAAGTAGCTTGAGAGGGCAGAAAGCACCTCTAACCCTGGCCCCCTAATATTAAGGGTACAATTCATGGAAATGGGCTGCCAAGGGGTACACAAGTGAAAAAATGTTGACAACCACTAGTCTATGCAACTAAACCATTAACCATACACCTGTCTCTGCAAAAATTAGTCCCACTGAATTCATTCCTGTCCTGCTAAACTGACACATGAAGGCAGTGTAAAATATCTGAATGCTTTTTTTTTTCATTCCAAGCTTTTGAAGGACCTTTAGGGAATTGTAGCTCAATTCAAACAACAACAAGACTGAGAAATTTGCATTCCAGAACACAATTACAAACATCAGTGATATCACTAATGAGCCAAATTTCAGGTGCACAGCAGGTGGAAAAGGGAAGCAGGCACCACATCTCGGAAAAGACAGGTGGAACAAACTGCAGACCAATTTCCCAGCTGAAAGAAATGGCAAATCTCTGCATTGTAACTTGAGAAACCTGGGAGGTGCGGTGGAAGATCTAATCATTCTAGATTTAGTTTCAGGCTGTATTTGGTCTCAGATTCTTAGAAAGGCTGCAAGTCTTTCATGCTCTGTTTTAATGCAAAATATTTTCAACAAGTCTTTATATAGAACTGCACCTGCAAATTATATAAATGCACATTTTTCTTGCTGCCCCCAAGAAGAGTTCTACTGCTTCCACTGTCACATTCATCTCACAGGTGGCAGTAGTGTCTTTTTTCTCCCAGATTTGGAAAGGGAGAAAAAGAGGCAGAGAGCAAGTGAAAGAGAGTGAGAGATACTCCTACTGTTGCTATGAAAATCAATGGTGGGGGCATTCCTCACCTTTCCTTCTCCGAAAGACAAAAAGATGCAGTGATATCTGCCTTTGGGAACTACAGTTTGCTTTAGTCCAAATATGATGAACAGGGTTATTAGAATCTCTTTATTTTTTGATAAGAAGACTCTTGCACCTTTGAAAATATCTCAACCAGCATTGAATTGTGGAAACAACAATATTCCCCACTCTAGGTATGGCTCCATCCCATACCCAGTGTGATGTAGTGGAGAGAAAGACAGACTAAGACTCAGGAGGCCTGGGTTCAAATACCTGCTCAGCCATGAAAACTCACAGGAACAGTGGAACTGGTTTTAAAAAATACTCTTTAAGTATCTCACTTACCTTGAAAGCCCTATTAAGGTCGCTATGAGTCAGGCCGCAGCCACACCACTGAAATCCCCCCCCCTGTGGTTACATGACTTTTAATTGTGTTCCTGTCATGCTTTGCGGTTACATATCATTCATCCTAGAATGTGTATCCCAAGGTGTTTTTGAAATATTCAATAAGCATCTAGAGCAGGCTTGTCCAACCTGCGGCCCGAGGGCCGCATGCGGCCCAGGTCAGCTCGTAATGCGGCCCAGTGCAATTTTTTATTTTTAAAGTAATTCCAAAGTTTCAAGTTACACTGCCGGCGCTTGTGGCCGGAATGTGCCCGGGGCATGTCACAACAGTAGAGGGAAGGAAGGAAGGAGTGGGAGGGAAGGGGAGGGGACAGGGGGGCTGCGCGACTGCATTGTGCCATCCCTGTCAATAGGTGGACCCCCTCCCGGCCCCATAAAGCTGCCGGAGTCGAAGCTGGCAGCCTCTGCTGTCTGAGATCGCAGCTGCCGGTAAGCGCGCTTGGAGCGGGGCTGTGGAGGACAGCTAGGGCTGCCCCCCCATGTGGCCCAAACCAAATTTTCATCTTCTAATGTGGCCCAGGGAAAGTGAAAGGTTGGACACCCCTGGTCTAGAGCTTCTTATTGAACTGTTTAACTGAAGTTAACCAACTCATCAGTACAAATGCCTCACGGGGAAACATTTTAGAAAGACATGCATGGTGATAGTAATTCAAAAAGGCTGTGGTAAGATTGTTCATACATAGAGCAATGCAACAATTGTTTTGAAAAAAAAGCCCACAACAAAAAAAAGTAGAAGCCTCTGGCCGAGTGAGAAATGATGCGCAGTTAGCACATTCACCGGGTAAACAATTCATTAATGGCCATGCATCATGTGACCACAAATTTATGGTACGAACTCAATAGAAGGGAAGGCAACATCTGGCTCATGTGACCATGGTCTAGGTTCCAATTTGAGGGGACATAACAACAACATTGTAACTTTAATTGGCAATGTTTTCAAAGCCCTCCTAAATCTTGCAAATTAAAGGCTTTTGCTTCCTCTGTTGAATCGACCCATCTTCTTTTCAGCATTCCTCTCTTCTTAACATTGTTGCCTTTTCCAGTGAGTCCTCCTGGGATATATCCAAAGTATGACAGCTTAGTTTACTCAGTTTTCTCAGTGTACCCACAGATAGTTTGTCCTGTTTTCATTTTTTAGAAGCTGACTCATTGACTTAAACCTTATTTTGTGCCAATGTGTACTGAGACAGTAGGCATTCGATGCTGTAGCCTAAAACCTTCTCTTTAAATTTTGTAATCCAAGTAATTTGAGTGTGTTTCCCCTCAATTGGACCTCTGAACAGAAACAGCAACAACTGCAACATGTCAAGAGACTGTCTCAAAGATATTATCAAATTTATTTAGGTTAAATATTCCTTCTCAAGTGATGATGGCCAGAATCCTGTTGGTATTCATCTAAAAGTTATGTTAACATGGTAGAGCCAATTGGTGAGGTGTCAGGGTGCATCCCAGTCATGTGTCTACTTGTGGGCTCAGTTTTGCAACTAAAATGCACTTTAACACTCCATCAACTGGCCATAGCAAGTTACACAAACATTGTGCAAACACCAGTAGGATTCTGACCAATGTC